TCCCCCTCTCCCTCTCAATCCCAGAGCCCATCCCGTCCTTCTGGGTCTAGCTGCTTAAGGAAGACCCCGCTGCCTGTGCTTTTCTTTGGCTTGCCTAGAGCCTGGTCTTGCTTGCCTCCTCTGGCACCTCCATGGGCTTCTTGGTCAGAAGGAGCACAAAGGTCAAAATGAGGGATTTTGTTGTTGTTGTTGTTGTTTGTTTGTTTTTGGTATCCTATGGACGGCCTCAACCAGGAAAGAGCTGACAGAGGCCTGAAATTATTGTAGAGATCTGGATGACTCTCAGGCAACTGTGGAAAGGCAGGATAAGCCAACACTGTTTAGCCCCAGAGGGGAAGGAAGGAAGCAGGGACATCTAATTTCTCAGTTGTAAACCTTTTCCCTATTAACACAATATGGCTAAATATTACTCTCAACCTCAGGAGATTTCACTCTTAAAGAAGGAGTGAACACTGTCTCTCTGTGTGCATTTGTGTATATGTGTACATGTGTGAATGTGTGTTGGAGGGCAGGCTGGAGAGCGACCATGGTGGGACGTCTTGTTTCTCTACATTTAGTCACTCATTCAGTGACCCAGGAGTGTGATTCCAGGTCCCTTTAAAGGCACCACTCACACTGGGCATTGCAAGGAGCAAATAGAGAAAACACTGAATCCATATATATATATATATATATATGGAGAACTAATGTGAGCATAGGTAGTGTGCACTTTTTTTTCTAAAGTGTATGCTTTAAACATCTGTTTTTCCTAAGTACAAATATACAACTAAAGGGGGGCAGCATTGGAGTTTCTAGAAGCTGGTCAGAGAAGAAATATTTGCTACAAAGTAACCCATGGACTTCCACTAAGAGGAAATATTTGCTACAAAGTAACCCATGAACTTCCACTCCGGATGGTTTCCCCTGCGCAGACTGCCTGTCTGTAACTCCGAGGAGCCACAGAGTTGCTGCTTTCAATAGCACCTTTCTCTGACCTGCTTTCAGTGTCGATGCCAAGAGTGAGCACTGGGAATCAGGAGCTCCCCTAGCTTGCCTTCAGCAACACCTCCAACAGCTACGTCATCATCATCACAGATCAGCCTCTTGTTCTGTCCCTCTTGCTCTCTCTCTCTGTCTGTGTCTCTGTCTCTCATATACCCACCCCCAATAATTCTCTTGCATAAGATCAGTTGTGTGATCTTTGCGGCACACCTTGGCCTGGAGATCCACCAAGATAGCCTGCCTCATAAATCCTAATAGTGAGCCTAGTCCTAGTCAGGAGGTGTGTAGAGCAAAACAGATTTACAGGACTAAGTTCTGCCTAAGGCAAACAGGAAGCCAGTGCTTTCTCCACAGGACACCCTCTTTCCATACAGCTTTGACCTCCCTGAAGGCCAGGGTGGTGGCTGGTGGGCCGTTTTCTGTTTTTAGCAGTCCACTCCCCAGCGTGTTCCAGAGACCAGTGGCATTGCGAACAGTGTTGAGGGGGCTGGTTATGGTGACACATGCCTTTAACCCCAGCACTCGGAGACAGAGATGGGCAGAGCTCTGTGGATTTGAAACCAGCCTGGTCCACATACTTGGTTTCAGGATAGCCAGAGCTGTATAGTGAGACCCTGCTTCCAAAAACCTAACATTCAGTGGCGAAAGTGCTTGTTGTGCATGAGTCAGGACCGGACTTTGAATCAAAACCTAAGTGAAGAGCCAGATGTGGTCGTACCTTGTCTGTAGCCCTGGCATTCCTGTGCGAATGAGGGAGGCAGGGACAAAAGACTCCCTGGCAGCCATGGGCCAGCTATCTGGACAGACACAGTGCAAAACAAGAGACCCTGCCTTAAACAAGGTGAAAGGTGGGGATCGACCCTCAAGGGAGTTCTCCTATGACCGCCACATATACACCACGATATGCATGCTCCCAAACTCCCACAAATGTGTACACACAAATGTACTTGCATACATATACACACAATGGTGTTACACACATACACACACATGGTGTTGAAGGTTCACTTTACAGACATACAGGTAAGTAAAATATTCATACATACACATACAGTAAAAAAGTAATCTAGAAGAATGAGGAAGACATGGTTAAGAGAAACTCGTTCTGCTGTTTGTCTTCAGTCCACCATAACCCCTACAGAAACATACATGATGCCACACTCAGAAGGGTGGTGCTAGGTGGGGCCAGGACCACTCCCGGCAGAGATGGAAAGATGGGTGTCATGTTGCCCTAGAGCACCCCAGTGCTCGCTGCAAGGGCATGCCTGGAAAATTCTGTCCACGCTAAGAACGGCAAGGCTCTTTATAGTCTGATCTTCTCTGCATTAGAAACTTTCCCTCCAGCTCGCTTCCTGTTACAGTGGCTGGCAGAAAGCCTAACACGAGGAAGTGCTCGCTCATTAGTCTATTCATTTATCCTACAAATATTTATTGAGTACCAATTGAGAGCTAAGATAAAGCCATGAAAGAGAGGCCTTCCTTCTCTCATGCAGGAGAGCTGTTCTGACGGAAGCCAGCAGAAAGTGCACAGTTCACAGGTGGCAAACACCGTGAACATAAAAGTCTTCTTTGTCACTTGCTTTGGGTAGTGCTATGCTTTAAGGTCATGAGGTTCGTGCCCTGTGATTCTGACCACCCTTGAGCAAAGTTCCCATCCCTCTGATGTTTATTTTCTGTATGCAAATAATGGAGTGATCCAACCTCTCGGATTTTGAACAGTAGTAGACACTTAATAATTTACAGCTGATATTGACGGATAGTGCCTTCTCTAAGCCTCAAGTTATACCTTTCAAAGAGTAATCCTTAGCTTAGCCAAACCACAGAAAGAGAAACTTCTGGAACTGAGACAAATAGACCCAGCTCTCTGAGAGAAAGAGATTAAAAAATACCCAAGTTGTAATATGTGCTGGTTTTTTCTTTTTACATACTAATCATCTTTGTATATATGTATGTATGCATGTGTATATGTATGGGGGGAGTTTCACATGATGTGTGGTGTGGACACTAGTCTGTGCGTCATGCCGCCTGTTTGGAGTCCAGAGACAATTTTGTGGAATCAGATCTCTCCCCCCACCTTTACGTAGGTTCTGGGAGGGAACTCAGGCTGCCAGGCTTGCATGTGAAGCTCCTTCACCTGCTGAGCATTTCACAAGCCCAACATTTGTTGATTTCTCTCATGTAACCCCGCACTGTGGAGATCCCAAAGTCTATGTGGAGATCACTGGATACAGGACAGGGAAGAGATGGGCCAAATCTACTCCTCAGAAGGGAGGGTCTGGCTTCGGCACCCACTGTAGTTTTAGACCCTTTTCCAGAATCTTTTACCGTCTTTCTTGGTTCTTCTGCTCAGGTCTGCTTTTTGTCTGTCTATCTGAAGCACCCTATGTAAACAGAACCATCACAAATCACTATCCTCACTTCTCTGCAAACCCTCTTTGTTTCAGATTGTGCTTCCCAGAACATCCCCTGCTCTTCTGCTAGCTTCAGTCCAAATCTAAGGAACATTCTAGACCCATTCCCCATGGAGTCTAGACTAGGGAAAGAGCGGCTTCATGGACCTTCGGACCGGGAAGGAAAGGCCAGCCATCTTTCCTGACCCTGCAAAGGCAAGGCCACACCCCTGGGCTATTTTAAGTATCTGTTTATCCAGAGAGGCCTAGGCAACAGATCAGCGCAGCTGTTGCCTGCATCCAGGAAACACTCAGAGCTCCACCTCCATCCAGAAGTGATCACGGGGGCCCCAGAACGGAGTCCCTCTGTGGCCCTTTCTCCAAGCCTTGAGTCATGGAAAGCCTGTAACTCATTGCCATGGAGACCTGTGGACAAGATACTTGGCTAGGAGTCCAGAGGCCGGACACTTCCTGGTTCTTTGATCTTAGGTATATTGTTCAGTCTCCCTGAGTCTCTGTTCTCTCTCTCTCTCTCTCTCTCTCTCTCTCTCTCTCTCTCTCTCTCTCTCTATGTGTGTGTGTCTGTCTGTCTGTCTCTGTCTGTCTGTCTGTCTCTGCATTATACTGAAAGTGAATAAACACATTTAAACACATTCTCTTGACTGTGTGTTGTGAAGCCTTAGAAAAATGTCATTTACTTCAGAGACCCTTCAAGCTCCACTGCCCTGGGACCCAGGGCATGTTCAAGTCAGCAATCTAATTTTGATGTTGACTCACCTCGCCCCGGTACCTGGGAGATCAAAAGCTGCATAGAGGGGAAAGTATGTGTGTAACCCAGGCCAACGTGGCCCAGCATGCTCAGGTGTCAGTAAAAGGATCCTCGGCCATAGGCAAGCCCCTGGAATTGAGGACCCTGCTGCCCTAGGCTTTCCCTGTGGCTATATTAGTCCGTGCCCAGCTGTTCCCTTAATCCTGGGATGAGAGCAGGATTATCTGGGTGAGCAAGAGTGAATGGAAGCTCAGTGGCTCCTCACGTCTCAGGAACCCAGCTCCACTTCCCCCTGGGCTCTCTCAGAAGGCAGAATATATCTGAGCAGGAAGGCACATTAAGAACCAAGTCGGGTGAGCTTCCTCATGTTAGAAATAGGAAAGCAGAGGCCAGGCCTAGGGCATTGCTTTTTACATAATTACTCATCAAGTGTAAAGCAGCAAGTCCCAACTATACCCGGGACAGCTTCTCCCCATGAGAATATCCTTGCCTTTCCCCCTGAGACTCAGCGTGCCTCCAGCCAGCCTTTGCACATTGCTGGAGACTGCCATGACGAGAACCACGGCCCAGGGAGGAAGCCTGCCACCAGTCCCTTCTCACTCTCTGACTTGAGTTTAGCAGCGTCTTCCCTTCTCGGAATAGAGAGGGATGGGGAAGGCTACTGTTGTTCATTTCTGGTGATGGTACGATCTGGACAAGAGGGGACTTGAACATGACTCTCTACCTCAGGGACCTGTGGACTGTTCAATCTGGGCACAGTTGCTCGAGGCTGTGCTGAACTTGTGGGAAGCTTCTTCTGTGGATAAACTCTTAATGTCTGCAGTCTGAGAGGTGACTGTCTTGCTAGGACCATCTTTGATGTACCATTCTCAACAAGCTCCTTGGACGTGGGCTGGATGCACAGTGCAGGCGCTGTCCGAAACCTGCAAGCAAGCCCAGAGGGCCCCGGGGCTCTGCCTCCCTCTCCACAGCACCCACACCACCGCCATTCCTCCTGAAGTCTCTCAAGAAGGCACCGTTCTTTGTTTGCACACATCAGAAACTACCATGAAGAAACCCCATGGACTTTCGCTCTGTGGGTCCCTTCCTCAGGGGCACTCCCCTCCCACCTCCTACTGATTACAGAGTTCAGAGTGTCACCTCATGAAGAAGTCAAGAGTTCCTGGACCTGGTGGTGCACGCCTTTAATCCCATCACCGAAGAGGAAGGGGCAAGAGTAGCTCTGTGAGTTCAAGGCCAGCCTGGTCTAGTAGTAAGATCCAGGTCAGTCAGAGTTAGGTGGTGAAACCCTGCCCTCCCACCCCCCAAAAGTAGAAAAGGTCTGGAGGCATTTGCTGCCCTGAAGACCCCTGCTAGGCTGCTGCGCAGCTGGTGTCTGACCTTGGCCCTGCTATTCTTGCGCTAAGTTTCCACAGCCTGCTCAGACTCTATGCTCTCCCAGGCAGGAGACCTCAGCCCCCACACAAGACTCACCCTGTGACGATCTCGAAGGGTGGCAGGTCAATGAGCTCCTTCAGCTTCTCAGGGTCTTCTAGGTTCTCCAAATCATCTCCATTCTGGGAGGCGGGCGCTGCGGCCTCAGCGGCCTCTTCTTTCTGAGCCATGGGGGAAGTGTGGCTGAGAAGTAGAAGGGTTGCAAAGCCAACTGGGGCCTGGCGGCAGAGTCCCAAGCAGCTGTCAGCAGCTAAACCTGGCCGAGGATGACAGCAAGAGAACCAGCCTGGTGCTCTGGCCCTCAGCGGCAGGCTTTATAACCAGGGCCCCCACCCCTCCTCTGGAGCTGACTCCCTCATCATTTTTTTTTAAACTGAATGACTGGCGGGTGACAAGGGTGGGGGAATGGAAAGTCTGGCCATGTTTCTCCCCTATTTATCAGTAGGCAGACAGGAAACTGGCAGGTGGGGAGGGCTGGGCCAACTCTTCCCCACCTCTCTCCTCTCACCCTGTGTTCTCAACTGGCTCCTACCCAGACTCAACTGAGCATTTGAGGAGAAGCCCTCACAATGTCTTAAACAGCGGGAGGCCTGTGATGGTGGAGAGAATTGCAGCGACCCCAGGCATTCCTGTTCGGGACCAGCATCAGGACAGGAGGGTCTTGGAGGGCACGAGATAGAAAGCAATGGTTTGAAATGAGAATGTTTGTTGCTGCTTCGTGCTGCGTGTGCTTGTTGTGAGTTCAGGTTCTGGTAGCAACTGACTAAAAGGTGTGTGTGTGTGTGTGTGTGTGTGTGTGTGTGTGTGTGGTCTGTGGGAGCATATGCTCACCTATGTGTACGGTGACCAGAAGAGGAAACCAGCAGGAATCTTCCTTTATTGCTCTTTCTTTGAGGCGGGATATCTCCCTAAACCTGTGCCTCACATTGTCTGACTTGTACTAGAAGTCAGTAAGCCCCAGTCATCCTCAGATCTCTGTCCTGATCCAAGCTGGTTGACAGGTGTCTCAAGACCACCCAGCTTTTTCTGCAGATGCTGGGATCCAAACTCTGGTTTTCGCGATTGAGGATCAAGTTCAACCACAGTTCCAGCTGCCAACCACTAATCCTATAGCCGTAGGGGTGCTCAGTTGACTGAGATCCAAAGTTTCTAAATGGGCCTGGTAGCGAGTTGAGCCATTTACCTTTAAAAGTGTATTTAAGGCTCTTCATAGCTCCGGCAGGCAACATGTGCTCTTGCCGCACTAAACGTGGGGACACTGAGACTCACAAAAGAGTTAGGGTACTTGCTTGAGGTCAAGTGGAGTTGGTAGGATTAAAATCCCATTTAGTGCAAAGGGCAAATGCTCAGCCTTCCTCCCCTTCATCAGTCCTGTGCTCATCTGACAAATGTGAGAGCAGATGGTCTCTGCCAGGAACTGTGCTAGGCACGGAGGTGCAGAACAGCCCAAAGAACGGAGCAAAGCAGAGCCCTGCTCTCTTGGAGCTCACAGTGGTCACCTGCCAAATGAGCTAAGTAAAATAGGTGATATATTTTTGGTAAGTGCTAGGGGAAAAAAATGACAAAGGGTGAGATTAATTTTTTTTCTTTCTTTCTTTCTTTTTTTTTTTTTTTTCGAGACATGGTTTCTCTGTAGCTTTGGTGCACGTCCCGGAACTAGCTCTTGTAGACCAGGCTGGCCACGAACTCCCAGAGATCCACCTGCCTCTGCCTCCCGAGTGCTGGGATTAAAGGCGTGCACCACCACCACCCAGCTGAGATTAAATTTTTAAAAGGTGTTTACTTTTTATTTAATTATTTGTTTGCTTATTTTTATAGACAGAACCTCCTGTGTAGCCGTGGCTGTACTAGAACTCTCTCTGTAAACCAGGCTGGCCTCATATTCACAGAGATCCACCTGGCTCTGCCTTATAAGTGCCTGGATTAAAGACATGCACTACTATGCCTGGCTTTATTATTATTTATTTATTTGATTTTTTTAAAAGACAAGGTTTCTCTGTGTAACCATTCTCGCTGTCCTGGAACTTGCTCTGTAGACCAGGATGGCCTCAAACTCCCAGAGATCCTCCTGCCTCTGCCTTCTAAGTGCTGGAACTCAATGCACATACCACCATGCCAAGATTGGCCCTTATTTTTTATTTTTAATTGTGTGCTTGTGTGTAAATGTGCATGTGGGTGCAGGTGCCTGCAGAGGCCAGAAGAGGACATCAGATGCAGTGGAGGTGTACTTGCAGGAAGTTTTGAGCTACCAGTATGGGTACTGGGAACTGAACTCAGGTCCTCTGCAAGAGCAATATATGCTCTTAACCACTGAGCAATCTCTCTAGCCCCAAGATTAGATTTTAATAGGGAAGGACTTTGGAAAGAAACAGGGAGCACTGTGAAGGAGACAAAGGAAGCATTCATATGCCTATCTAAAGGGAAAGTGTTCCCAGCAGAGGTAGAGGGGGTGGGGGAGGAGCTAGGGAAAGGTGTATGCAAGGGAATTTTCAAGGGTGGGTACAAAGTCTCTGAGATTTCTTGCTGTGTTTGAGGAAATAGCAAGGACACTTGAGTGGTTGGAGAGTGGAGGGGAGGGAGAGCAGGTATGGAGGAGCCGTTGTCACTAAGCTGATGAACTACATATCCCACTTCGGTTTCTGCAGGACCAGTGTAGTGGCGCACAACTGTGATCCCAACATTTCGGAGAAGGAGGCAGAAAAACTAGGAGTTCAAGGTAAGCACTGACTATGTACTGAGTATGAGGCCAGCCTGGGCTTTTAAGAGACCTTCTACAAGCTATAATATATCATATATACTATACTGTACTATGCTATGCTATGCTATGCTATATACTATACTATACTATACTATACTATACTATACTATACTATACCATACTATACTATACTGAGGGACCTATTAGAAGGCCAATCAAACCAGACAGAGAAGGAATTGAGCTAGGATGGCATTGGAGGACAGCTGGGCAGTGTATAGCTCATGTGTTGAGTGCTTAGCAGGCCCCCCAAGTCTCTATATTTGGGGTAATACAATGCTCTAGAATTATCAAGTAAATGAAAAAGTGGCCAAGACCACCTGCTGGTTGAAATGAGGATCCTAAAATATTGGTTGAAGGTAGGGAGGCTAAGTACATAATTTGGTAGAGTGCTTGCTTAGCATGCTAAAGCCCGAGTTCGTTCCTAGCACCAAATAAACCAGGCTTGAATCCAGCACTGAGGAGGTATGGGCAGGAGAACTGGAAGTTCAAGATCATCTCTGGCTAGGTAGCAAGACTAAAGCCAGCCTTACCTACATGAGATTGTCTTTAAAAAAAAAAAAGGTATTCTATGGAAGTGGTCTGGGGGTCAGACTAGAGAAGAGGAGTCAGGATGTGTGGGGTATGGAACTCCTTTTTCCAGAGAGTTCTGAGCTCTATAGTGTGCCATTCGTGCAGGTTCTGAGCATTTATAGTACCCAGGATGGCCCTGTTACCTCTTTGCTACAAGTGTTATCTGCGGCTTTCTAGTCAGATGACAAATTACATGTTTGTCTTACTTATTAAATTGATTACTGATAGTATTTGTATCCAGAGATCAAAACATAAAATTTCTCAGGAGTCTCAAAAACAGGGCGGAGGGAAGTGCCCAGTCCCCAACACAGTGCCAGTAACAGCTGATAAATAGCCAAGAGCGTTTGCTATGTCATCAGCACACAGCATTTAGATGCAAGCATTTGCTCCATTCTTTGATTTAATCAGCATTTAGTGAGGGCTCCTCTGTGCCAGGTGCCATAGTGCATATCAAGAATGTAGAGATGAATATGTAGGGCTTGAGTCTACAACATCTGGGACATTAATCAGGCACTCAAGTTTGCTTCATCTCAGGTAGTCACATATGCGAATTATTGGGCTCACTTGGCAAGTTATGGGAGGGACTGAGTGCTTGGAAGGGAAATTGATTTGTGTAAGATCAACATGGGCTTGTATTAAGGGCTTCTGATTAGGTCCAGTCTCATTTCCAGGGCTGTGTCTGGGCGCCTTTTCCTCAACATCTCTAAAGTGGGGAAGACGGCTCAGTGGTTAAAGGGATTGCCACCAGCCTGAGGACCAGAGTGTGTGTCCTCATGACACACTGTTGAAATAGGGAGCGGCGGGGCTGCGTCCCCAGCACCCCAGCAGCCTGGCTAGCTCATGCCCGAAATAACAACACACAAACTGTATTCAGTTAAACACTGCTTGGCCCATGAACTCTAGCCCTTACAGGCTAATTCTCGCATCTGGACTAGCCCATTTCTAATGATGAGTGTAAGCACCCCAAGGTGCGCTTACCGGGAAGATTCTAGCCTCCGTCCATGTTGGGTCGGAGCTTCATCGCGTGTGCCTCAGAGAGCAGAGCTATTGGGAGAGTGGAGCATGGCGTCTCTGCTCCAGAGAGCAGAGCTGTCGGGTCTCTCCAGGAGCAGAGCAGAGTCTGACCTCACTTCCTCTTCTGCCCAGCATCCTATTCTGTTTATTCCTCCCACCTATGTTCTAACCTATCAGGGCCAGCCAAGCAGTTTCTTTATTGTTCAATGACCTTCCTCCATCATTTCCCCTTTTTCTGTTTAAACAAAAAAAGGAAGGCTTTAACTTAACATAGTAAAATTACATATAACAAAACAGTTATCAAGTAAAAATTACAATAATCTTTATTATAACTAAGGAAAACTATAACTATAACTAACCATTCTTCAACTCCATCAAAGA